TTCATATCGATGGTGCTGATCATTATTATTTAATTTGTAGAAACCCTTACCCTTTTCCTTCCATCCATGGGTTTATACAAAATCTAGAAAAGGTAGGCGTGAATGTGATAGACCACACACGAGCAAAATGATTAATTTGATTCTAGAGAAGAAAGTATACGTACTGTTATATATACAGTGGATAGAAAATAAAATAATATTAATGATGGGTATAAGGGAAGTAGCTAGAATGAAAGAATACCATAATTTTGAGATGGAATAAATTTGGACGAGTCAACAAAATTGAAGATGTATAAAGGCCTTGAAAATTGTGTAAATTACAGTAAACGACAAAGACAGAAGGTGGTGTAACTGTAAGTGGAAAAAGGGAAAGGAGCACAGAATAATAATTAAAATTGGTTGAGGATGGTATGACTCCCTTATATGAGTATGAATACACTACACATAATGATAATATTGTTTTGTTTTGTTTTGTTTTATGTTTGAGGGTGAGAGTTGAGAGTTGAGAGTGGGGGATAAAATGAGAAAAGCAAGCGATGGATGAGTGTCGTACCCGGTGAAGGCACTGAGGAAGAGCCAAAACAAAACCTGCCAACTGAACTTGTTTGCGTGCGATCTTCTGCAGTTGCGGGCATTGCGATTGATTAAATTAAATTTAATTAATTAATTAATTAATAAAAAGGCACTATAATTATTATTAAACATATGATGAATTAGAAGAAGCGTAGGGTTAGGGGTACCTGTCGAAGAAGAAAGCAAAGGGTGCAACGCAGAGAGCGGCGACGACATGACGGTAGGCCATGAGTGCAAAGATGAAGGTGCCTTGATTGAGGATAAGTTTGCTGAGAAGTTGCATTCCGGTGGCAAATAGTTGGACGAGCAACATGGCCAGAACGGGGCGAGAGGCATTGAACAGATTATGATGAAGGAGCTTATTATTCACGATCACGCCCATGGGTGAACTTGGAGTTGAGGCCAGAAAAGATATTATTGGATATTGGGGAGGGAGAGGACAGCCTCACAATCTCACAGTCACAGTCAACAGTCGCTGGTGTAGGCTATACGTATAAACCTAGATGATGATGATGATGATGATGATGATGATGATGATGATGAATGTTTCTTTCGATGAGCCCCCTCCTTCCTCGCCTTCGCCTTGCCCTTTTAACTGCACATACAATACCACAGAGAAAGAGAGAGAGAAAGAGAAAGAGAAAGAGAAAGAGAGAGGTGTTTTAACTTTCAATTTCCTCTCCTTCAAATCTTAAATAAATAAAGGAGAGACTGTGAGTGAGTGAGTGAGCGAGTGAGTGAGTGAGTTGTGACTTGTGAGTGAACCCGGTTCCGGCCCTCCAATATATTTAAATTTCAATTTCACTTTTTTACTGGTATCGCGCTCACACTTTTTCTTTGACCTCTTTGACTCTAACCAACTGTCTGACGCACACGCCACATCTCACCATTCAAACAACAAACACTTTTTTTGCCATCCCTCTTCTACGCATTAACCAACAATAATCTCCACTAACTTCAAACTCTTCTTTTTCTTTTTTTTTCTTTTTTTATTTTATTTATTCAACTTCCCAAAATAAATAATAATATATATTCTCTTAAACACATACCTTTCACTATTAAGTTTCATATTTTTCCAATTCTAGCAACTCCAGTACACTTCTCACCTAACTCAATCTCCCATTACTTATGCAAATTAAACTATTTTGTAATTTTCGTTTAATTCACACTTGTAACTACTTTCGATGCTATTTTTTCTTTATAAATATTATTGTATTGTTTGATTTCATCAAGTTATCTATCTACTCAATCGGATTATTACCCAATTATATGTTATATGGCAATTCTTTTATCAAGGTATATGTATATATATACTTATTTTCTGTTTCTTTTTTTAAATACTTTTGTTTCGAGGATCAACTTACCAATTGTAACAAAAAGTGAAAGTGAATTTTAGTGTTAAACTTGTTTTCCAAATTTAATAAATTATTTTAGAGTTCTGTTGTAATAAATTATTTTAGGCACTTATATGCGACTAATGGTGAGTTCAAATCATCATCCTTATATATTGTACTAAATTTTTTTTAATTAAATTATACAAAATGCCAATAACTTTAGGATATGGTTCAATTATGCTGTATCATTAAAATGTTCCATTTTATACCTTCAATATTTAAAATTATGCCATCTTTCACTAAAAGAAAATGGAAATATGGATGTGATGGGTGATGATGTAAATGCAAAGATACACGTTGACAACATAAGTAATTTCAATATACCCTAAATTTTGTGATCAAATTTTCTATTATTTGAAAAGTTTCATTTCAACCTTTAATTCTTAAAATTATTTCAAAACAACTATTTCATTAATAAAGATGAAAATATGACATGGCAGTAAATGTAAAAATGGAGGGCACAAATAACAGAGATGAATAGTAATCACATTCAAAATTATTCTTATTAAGGAAGCTAAGAAAGCTGACATGAAACCCTATTGAATTAGAAAGGAACAGTACATGAACCCTTAATTCACAAGATTAACTCTCAAATCGTTCAATTGAAACAGATTCCCTTTAAGATCAAAGCTTTTGAGACAAAAAGAACACATCCCTTCCCTTTAAGATCAAAGCTTTTGAGACAAAAAGAACACATCCCTTGATTCAAAAGTCCAACGCTATGAAATAGGATGATCGATACTACTTGAATGTTCTTGGCATGCAACTCAAAGAAACATAAAATTGCAAAGGTTCTATAAGTTTTGACTAACTCAAAACGCAAAACTCAAATGCTAAGGATCCATTTGATAACGATTTATGTTTTTGGTTTTTGGTTTTTTAATTTTGTGCTTTTAATTTTTAGAAAACAAAAACTATATATATGTGTGTGTTTGATAACTATTTTTTTGTTTTTAAAAAATAGAAAACCAAACATGTTTGGTAACCATTTTAGTGTCATATATGTTCTTAAAAAGTTATAAAATTTAAAATATATATTGGAGAGAGAAAATCCGATGTAGAGTAGGGATGACAATAGTGCGAGATAGAGTGAGGATGTCCTCTCTCATTCTCTTGCTTTGGGAAAGTTCTCTCACACTACTGTTGCAGGGAAAACTTTGTGTATTTTTCACTTTCAGTTGGGGAATTTATCAGTAATAATTAAACCAAACAAAAATCGAAAAGGCAAATGGTTAATAGAATTGGCAGTTGTTTTGTAACCACTCAGTCTTGGAAAAATTTTCCTTGTTTTGCTTGTGAAATGAGATTGTCGTGTTTGTGAAAATTTATAGTCCACTGTCTTTTCTTCAGTCCAGGAATCAAGATCTAGGTTAAAGAATCCTTATTTGGGGATGGAGATATTCGCGGAAAAAATTACTAGTTGTATAATTAATTTTAATTATTTTTAGAATTTACAAAATGAAAAATACTAGTTGTATAATTAATTTTCATTATTTGTAGAATTTAAAAAATGAAAAATGTAATAAATATATATTAATTATTTTTAGAATTATTATTTACAAGTATAAATAATTAGTTTTAAAAAATATTTATTATTTTTTTTCACAATTTTGTTAATATATCAATAAAATATATATTAATTATTTTAAAAAATAGAATCGATGACGAGATTGAGACATGCATTTTTTATCCTTGGAGCGGGGACCCGACCCAAATTTTTGTCACATAATGTAGAGACATAAAAATGCAAATTTAGAGAGATGAAAATAAACTTTTGAAAAATAAATTTTAGAGAGATAAATAAAAAAATGTAGAAAAAAATTAGTGGAATAAAAGTTCAAGACAAAAAGAGAAAAATTCTAGAGAAAGAGAATAAAGTTGAGAGTAAAATATGTTAAAAGAAAAAAGAGGAAATTAGAAAGAAAAAGAAAAATTATAGTGAAAATAGAGATAAAAACAATATTCAAAATATATTTTTTAATGAAAATAAATAAAGACAAAGATAAATAAAAGTTAGAGTGAACTAATGAGAAAATAATATATAATTTTCGGAAGGAAGAAAGAATAGATTAGAAAGAAAAATAAAATTTATAAAAATAAATTTTAGGGAGAGAAAAAAAGAAACAAATAAAAACAAATAGAGACGAAGAATTCTAAGAGAAGTAATAATAAATAGAGAAAATATAATTTTGATTTTTTGGTTACTGAAGTTTAAATTAGGTCTTTATTTGATCCTTCAAATTTTAAAATAGACATTTTTAGTTCCACGCTCCCTAACTTTATTTAACCGTTAATTAACTAACGGAAAGGTAAGGTGATGTGTCAGTTAGTTGGCAAATAAATTTGCTGACTTGGACAATTATATTATTTTTTAAGTGATTGGACCAATTAGTGAGGTGGTCACCTTGTTCTTCTCTTTTTGTTTATTTCCTTTCTTCTCTCCCTCCGGCCAATCTCGTCGGCGCCGGTGACGGGCATCTCAGCACTCTCCTTCCCTCTTATTTTTCTTTTCTTTCTTTCACCATTCTTCTTTTCTGATAGCAATCCTGCGCCGTCATCCTTCCCCTCCCTCAGTGGTCGCACGCAGCTTAGATCTAAAGCTCCTTTGCCGTCGTAGCCCAGATCTGAAACTCCTTCGCTGCCCGTGTCGCTTCTCCTTCATTTCGATATGAACTTCTCCCGAAGCCCAGATTTGAATTTCATTTGCTGCTGCAGCCCAGATCTGAGGCTCCTTCGCTGCCCGTATTGCTGCTCCTTCCTCGTTCTAGCATGAACTTGTGCACGAAGAGAGATGCTGCCAGATCTGGAGTATCTGTGGCTACGGCGACAAAGAGCTTCAGATCTGGAACGATGGAGTTTGGCTATGCTTGTAATGACCCATGGCGCCATTGTATTTGCACGAATATTATCCTTTGCCCGTTCATTTATTTGTGATTTCATTTATGCCCTCTTCATAAACATAGACCAATGCTTCAGACTCTGAAGCTTTCAATAATGGGTGTGCAACTTGAGAAAAATGAGCCTCAGTCCGCAGGAATTGGAGAAGAAGTATGGAAGAAAGAAATTAAGAAAAAAAGAAAAGTGAAGTTGAGAGAGGAGATCATCGTCGCCGGCGTCGGCGAGACTGGCCGGAGGGAGAGAAGAAAGGAAATAAACGAAAAGAGAAGAACGAGGTGACCACCTCGCTTGGTCCAATCACTGACACTGACACGTCACATTTCCGTTAGTTAATTAACCCTACAATAAAATTAGGGACCATTTAGAACTATTTATCAAATTTTAGGAATTAAAAATATCTATTTTGAAATTTCAAGGATATAGTTGCCTAAAACTTCAGGATCAAAAATGTATTTTTTCCTAATAAATATTTAAAATATTATTTTTTTAAAAAGAAATTTATCAAAGAAAAGAAATTTTAGAGTGAAAAAGAAATTTGTTAAAAGATAAATAAATTTTGAGTATTAGAAGAAAAAAAATATAAATTTAAAAAAAATAGAAATATGTTTTAATTTTTTTTTTAATTTACATAGAATTTTAAAATCATTTTTAAAACAAAAGAATAGAAAATTGAATTGATTAAAACAGGTGAGTTTTAAAAACTGAAAACAGAAAATGAAATGGCAAACGGGCCCTAAATTAATTCCTTTAAGAACTGATCTGTCTAAAAAGCCACACATGCATTGGTAAATGAAAGTAGAGTACGGTAAAGAGAGAAATCTTTGTGGAATATGTTTATTAAAGAGAAGAATTGTAGGGGAGAAATATATTGAGTGTAGTGTTTGAAATTGTGGTAGAAAAAAAGAGATTTAAAATAAAATGATATGATCAAAATGGTCACTTTTTAAAAGTACGGGGATCAAAATGAACATTTTCAAAGTGCATGGACTAAAATGAACTAAAGGATAAAGTACAAGGACCAAAATGAATATTTTAAAAGTATAAAGACTAAAATGAACCAAAGCTGAAAATATAGGGACCATAGATGAAGGTGTGGTTTCCATCCTTCTTCCATCCTTGCAAATTCGACTATCTTGAGTTTATTTGTTCGTCTCTTCCATCTAATTTTTTTTCGTGTTTTAACCCTAAGTTTTGTCAATTTATCGTGAGAAAGGAACCCCAAATTTGATTTACCCCTTTGAAAATTTTATTTCCTCCCCTAAACAAATTTGATCGCAAGAGGAATAATATTTTATATTAACTCTCAAAACTCTTTCTCCAAACTACACAATTTCAAAATGTGACTAAGACACTTCAATTTATTTATGGTTCACAGTTTAAAAAATAAAAAAGAAAAAATATTTACATTCATTGCACATCAGATTTTCATATTGATTTTGAATACCTCTTTTATATCTCACCCTGTTGGGTCATACTTTTTTTTTCTAATGAAAAAGTTGATGAAACTTGTTAATTTGAAATAATTTTACAAAATTCGGTTATAAATGAAAACCCTTTAAAATGATAGATGCATAAATCAAACCTACTCTAAATGTAAGGATTTTTTTCTTTTTTCTTTTTTTTTTTATAATATTGACTAAATTATTCTTGCAAATTGCTAAAAATATTATATCATCTCAACCTTCAACATAATAATTCTCCGTCTCTTAATCTTATTATGTATCTCTTTTACAAAATATAAATAAATATATATATATATATATGAACGATAAGATGCATCAATTAGCCATTTTTCAAGTATACTTTTTGATCGAACATAAGTACCTTAGCCTTTTGAGTTATCCTCAGGTTTATGTATCAATTAATCATTTTGAGTTATCCTCAGGTTTATGTATCAATTAATCATTTATCTGTTAAAGAATTAAAATTTTAATAATTTAGGCTATATGTGATTGCTATTTTATTTTGTATTTTTGAAAATTAAGCTTATAAATACCACTCCCACGTTATCTTTTAAAAATAATTTCAAAATCAAATTTAAAATTTAAAAATGGAAAAAAAATAGTTTAAAAAAACTGAGAATTCAAATTTATATGATATAAAGATAAAAATTCATAAAATAAATTGTAAGAAAGGTAGCATAATTCTTAAAATATAAAACAAAAAATGGAGTGGTTACTAAATGTGGCCTGCAATATTTGTATATAATTATAAAATAGCAAAAGATGTGAGATACTATATACATATATTCCTATAAAAGCTGAACATGGAAATTACACGACTCCGTGTAAGGGATTAAAAAAACAGATGACTCAAATTCCACGAGTTGTAATTAATTAATGAAAAACAAAAACAACAATGAAGAATAAGATGATGGAGTGGAAGAGAATGGGATGGGGGGCCACGGCTCGTGGGAGCCGTGGATGCTTTTACTTGCTTGGCTTAGGGATTGGGAAATTGGGAATTGGGAATATTGTTGGGTTATTACTTTCTACAAATATAATACCAAAGTTTATTCCATAAATATATGAACCTCGGGCTCAGATTTTATATTACTGGGTGATATCAGATATGAATGAATGATTTTTTTTTTTTTTTTTGCCCCCAACCTCAACCCAAAAAGTAGTTGACGGTGATTGTGACTTTCCACACCATCTCTTTGTCAGATGATCTTCTAATATATATACCTAAAAGGCTAAAACCAAATCAAAAGGATTTTCTGTATCTGCATCCTCTGCCAACGCCCCTCCTTTCTATTTCCTACGGGTGTCTCTGAATTTTTCAAGTTTTATACTGAGTGTTTGGGACAGAGAGTTGGAATGGGGTGGATTTGGCATCACAAGCCAGACTCCATATTGGGGATAGGTTTGCAACTTTGGCTTCTTTACCATTCAACTTAGGAAAAAGAATCATAATATGAAATTCAAACTGGAGCTACATATTCATGCACCCTAACACACACGCTACCCAATCTCAAAATATACCTACCCTAAGGCCTAAATAAAGGCTTCTCGATCACAGCCATAGGAATCAAAGACGCCCTCCAACCTACCTAGACTTGACATTTTCTCAGGCTACCGATGTCGAACTTCCAAGCTACACATTCCTTCCCCCAAGTACTTTAGCACAAGTTTCAATTATGCCTCTATCATCTCAAAAGTTTCATCTGTGTCTTTAACGTCCTTTAAAATTGTTTCAAAAAATACAACTTCGTCAACCCTTTCTGTTAAAAATAAAACAAAAACTTCATGTAGACTTAAGTAGTAAAAATAGGGGTTCATGTGAGCATGTCCCAAATTGTTTCAAAAGCTAAATTTTTTCAAAACAATATTCCACTTAATTTCCCATTAAAATCAAGACAAAAATGTGATGTGTGGCAATTAGGTTGTAAAATGAAAATTACGCTCCAACTGGCCCATTAAAATAAACGATGTCAAACAAGCGTCCAACACCATCTTGACTATATATTATATTGTAAGTTATAATGACACGCACTTTTCTTATGACGGGCATACCGACTGACATTTGAAATCGTGATTATGATAAGAAGGAAAAAGTAAATTTGGAGCCAGATTTTTTTGTTAAAATTTTGTCCCTTAAAGGGAGAAACGGTATACTGCGAGAAAAATTATGGGTTAGTAAAAATAAAAGAAACCACACATTGATAAAGCTAAAAAAATCGGAAGAAAAAGCTTTGCGAGAATAATATAATTATTAATCATAATAGAAAATCTAATTCAAATAATATAATCTAAACTAAATTTAATTATAATTAAAATAACATTATCTAACATTTTACTCAAATTCACGATACTAAATTATGAGTTTACTAAAAAAACATAAATGTCAAACTAACGCCTAGATCGAAACTACAATCAATCATTCACTCTCTCTCGCCCTAAGGGCACGGCACCTACCTTCCTCACCAATCTCAATTCTCAAGTACTAAGTAGTAAGTACTCTCTCAATCTTAATACATCCATACAAGGGAATATCAAATAATTCTGAACCCAAAAAAAAAAAAGATGGTTTACACCCCTGTTTTCAAAACTACAAAAATATCATGCTAAAAAATTGTTTTTCGCACCATTTTTCGCTCCGTTTACCTTATAATTGAGCTAACATTCATACAAGAGAAAATCAAATAATTCTGAAAAAAAAAACTTAAAAAATTATAGTTTGCGCCCCTATTTTCAAAATTACAAAAATACATTTATAAAAAGTTGTTCTTTTGCTCCATTTACCTTCTAGTTGAACGTGAACATCCACAAAATCAAATGATTTTGGAACCAAAAAAATTTTAATCCAAAAATCGTTTACGCCATTGTTTTCAAAATTACCAAAATATCATTCTAAAAAGTCGCCCACTTTTTGCTCTATTTACCTTCTAATTGCGCCAACCTTCTTACTTGAGAAAATAAAATGATCCGAGAACCAAAAAAAAATTCTTCAAAAATTACTATTTACACCCCTTTTTCAAAATTACCAAAATACCCTTCTAAAAAGCACTAATTCTTGCTTCGATTATCCTGTAGTTGAGCCAATATCATACAAGAGATAATCATGATTATCCTATAGTTGAGCCAATATCATACAAGAGAAAATCAAATTATTAGGAGACAAAAAAAACATTCTTATATCCATGCAAGAGAAAATCAAATGATTATGAGACAAAAAAAAAAAACATTCTTAAAAAATTACTGTTTACTCCCTTGTTTTCAAAATTATCAAAATATCCGTCTAAAACATCATTTTTCGTGGAACTTTTCATTCTGTTTACCTTCTAATTGAGCCAACATCCTAGAAAATCAAATGATTCGAGGACGAAAAAAAAGGTTAAAAAATTATGGTTTATGCCCCTCTTTTTAATTACCCAAACATCCTTTTAAAATGCGGTTTTTCGCACCACTTTTCGCTTGCCTTCTTTCCTTTTTCATTTGTTTGTTTGGGATTTTTTATTTTTTATTTTTTATAAGTAATAATTGGTGCATGATTGAATCGGTTGGTTTCGGTTTAAGATAAATATCCAAAATATTGAACCGGAAATTCACCATGGCATTTTGAAATTGAGCAGGGGTAGTTCTGTAAATAAAAATGAACTTTCTGTTTAGAGTGGCTTTTTGGTAAATAGGTGATAAATAAATCAGCCTAATGCCCAAGCCCTTTACGTTAGGGTTTCTTCAGCTATCACAACAGCAGGAGCCCAGCCGCATACGGGCTTTTTTAGAATTGGTTTGCCCTTCGTAGAATCAGTATATAAATCTTCTCACAGAATTTCTCCGCCTTCTCTGCCGCAGCATCTGAGGTTTTCTGCCGCCGTTTCTCTGAGTCTCCTTCTCCAGAGAGCAATGAAGACCATTCTTTCATCCGAGACTATGGATATCCCAGATGGGGTCAAAATCAAGGTAAATGCCAAGATCATCGAGGTTGAAGGTCCTCGCGGTAAGCTCGTTCGAAATTTTAAGCACCTTAATCTCGACTTTCAACTCATTACTGACGAGTCCACCGGCAAGAAGAAGCTCCGGATCGAAGCATGGTTTGGGTCCAGGAAGACATCCGCCGCTATTCGTACCGCTCTCAGCCATGTTGAGAATCTCATTACTGGTGTGACCAAGGGTTACCGTTACAAGATGCGTTTCGTGTATGCTCACTTTCCCATCAATGCTAGCATCACAAACGCCAACAGGTCCATTGAGATCCGTAACTTCCTTGGAGAAAAAAAGGTACTATTAACTCTATGGTTGCGTTTTTCTTTAATTTTTGTTCGGCAGGTGTTTGGTTTGGCCATTAATTTTGTGTGTTTCCATCTTGTTTCTTAATTATGAAAGGCCCAGATGGTGTTTTTCTTTGAAATATATGTTCTAAGCAACTTCAGTTTATTAAGAAGAAGCCTTCCTTTAGTTATGCTGGTTTTCTCGATCATTCCAGGTTTTCATTTACATTATTTCCATGGATGTTTTTACTGCCTGACTTGTGCTGTTAATTGCTTGCAAACTATCATCGGTGAATTTGGAGACGGCATCTCTTATTCGTCGGAATCTACTCGGCGTTTTTATTTTACGTGTAGAAATATACCTTCTGATGTTCTTTGGCCTTCACCCATTCTTATTAAGTAGTTGGAACTTTGTCTTGATCAATGTTTGTTATTGCTTGATTTATATTGTTAATTTCTTCATGCTTCCAATTATGAAGAACCATTTTTACAAATAGGTACTCCACCGTTACCTGATTTATTCTTGATATACGTATAAGGACCTATTGAGCAACTACTTAGAAGTATATTGTGTGCAACACTTCCTACCTCGTTTTCAATTCTGTTAGTAATTCATATTTAGTACCAACTCCCAATATTTAAAGAAACCTTGGCCACGCCACAAATCTACATTTGCAAAATATATATTGAAAACAATCAAATCGGAAACCGAGTTGGACTAGAATAAAGGGCCTTTTGATTCTCAAAATTAATCTCATTTTTTTTATGGATCCTGTATAGTTCATGTGGTGCTCTTTACAGCTAGGTTTTGTATGTTTGAGATAGGTAGGATGATTGCTTCAATTGTTTCATTCTTTCTCTTATTGCAAAGTATTACCGGAAAGCTCATTTCTTACAGAAAAGGTATAGGAGCAATCATACTTTCATTAATTCGTTAATATCACGGCTTTCTGGATGTTGTCCTCCTTGCATAAAAATTTTCAAAGTTGCTTGTGCAAGGATATGGCATCGACCAAATAACTAGCTATTGAAATTTTCTATTGCCAATTAACCATATATTTTTTTTGATGAACCATGCACGTAATTATTTCATCAGGTGAGAAAGGTGGATATGCTTGATGGAGTTTCCATCACCCGATCTGAGAAAGTGAAGGATGAGTTGGTTTTGGATGGAAATGATATTGAACTTGTTTCACGGTCTTGTGCCCTCATAAACCAGGTTTGTCTCTATCACACTTTCCACATGCTGGCTTTTGCTGCACAGAAAAGAATCGAGTAAATAGTTCATTGTTAAAACATTTTGTGGCCTTTTCTTCCCTGCCTTCTTTTGCAGAAATGTCATGTCAAGAACAAGGATATACGGAAGTTCCTTGATGGTATCTATGTGAGTGAGAAGGGGGCCATTGTTGGAGACGAGTAGTCAATGGAATAGTAGGTTATATTGCTCTTAGTTTCATGAGTAGTTTATTTTCTTTAGATTTTTTTTCCTTTCTGCTTAGTTTTGTGATGTTTCATGGCAAAGTTTAAAACTGTATTGCAATTTTGTTTTATGGATGTTATCTATTTTGAGGCACAAGACCGGTGTTCAGAAACCCTTCTACAATCGTTTATATTACACTAGTTCTGCCTACTTTTTGAATCTAATCTGAGCGGTCTTAGGACACCCCCCTCCCCTCTCCCCCAAGAGTTGTTCTTGCATTTGCTGACCGCATTGCCATTCTCTTGGTTCGTGAGCTTGGAGATAAGCACGGGGCAGGCTGTTTTTGGGTAACAAAAGTTGGTAATTGACACTAAAAAGTGAAATTATATACTTTGCACAATAACATTCTAATTGTAGAAACATTATAAAAATGGTTTCTTCAAATTTGGTTTTCTAAGATATATTATATTATTATGCACCCTTATTCTATAGTTTATTTTGTGATTAAATAGTTTTAGAGCTGTTGTTTCGTGTTATATGTAATATCTCAGTAGTTCTCTCCCTAATTTAAATATGATCGTATGTTACCATTTTTGCATGAATACTTCATTCTTCTTTAAGAATAATAAAAGATAGACTTCTAATTTGAATAGTTATTGACTTGAATAAATCAGTCTCTCATGATTAAAATTTCAAAAATAAAAAATGTAGGCAATTTGAATGATAAAAGTCACGATCTAGAGTATATGTTACATCATATTGTTATACAATTAATTTATTAAATTGAACAGGTGCAAATAAGTTCATCGCATGGTATAGCTCAGAGGACAGTTTATACCTTCACTTAAAATTTATATAATATAAAATGAGGTAAAAAGGATTTTTTTTTTTTTTGTATGTAGTTATATTATATAATTGATGTATTCATTAGCAAATATTAACTTTCCTCTTAATTGAGATTGGTAATTTTTTTTTTTGGGATCGAATTTAGATTGGTAAATCGATGATTAATAAGGTATGTGAAATGAGAGAAAATAAATGGATAAAATATAGTTCAGAAATCAGAATGATTTTATGTTTGTGTAGAGTTGTGTGTTTTTTGTGCAGAGTCAGTTGAAGGAGGGATGAAATTATATAGTTTAGTGGAAGATGGAATCATGCAAAGTTTGGAAGGAAAGACAGCTGGCAGAACTTACCTATCTAATCTAACCCCCATCCTGAAATTAAAGTTGATTGAGCTCGGATTAAATTTGAAGGCTAATAATGGGAAATGTAATAACATGTTATTTTCCTAAATTTAATAATGGATACAGAATTTAAGGTTGTCCGGATACTAGTAAATAAAGGGTTCGTATTTTCCCAAATTTTGATCAGTTTCAAGCAATACGGTACAACTTATTTCGTTGTTTCAAACTCGAACTGCATTCAAAATTCAAGTTGAAGCCCAACTTTTGAACTGGTACTGGGCCTACTGGGCCTAATGGGCCCCTTCACCCCCTCTGGCTCTGAGTGTGAGAGAAATGCAGCTAAACCAGGAGTAGAAACGTGTGTCCAAGGCACGACTAACGTTGTGGTTGTGGGCGGCGTTACGGATACGCGTTAGTGCAGCTCCCATTTGGGGCTACGTCTTCTTCACTCTTCGAGCAACAGGCTTCGCGGCTGCAACGAACTGAGGTCTACTTCCTAAAGCCTTGAGGGTTTACTTTTACTAGGGCTTTATTATTATTCATTCTCGCTCCTTCCCAGTTCCCACTTCAGTGGCTGGAGACCTCGAAATTCCGCTTCCAAAATGATGAATTCTTTCAACTCCAATGCTTCTTCCACTCTCAGATTTCTCAAATTCATTGCCCACTCCAGACATCTCTCAACCCTTTCCCCATTGCATCCAACACGCTCCTCCTTCCTCTTCTCCAACAACCCTTTTTCTCCTCAATCTTCTTCTCTGCTCTCACCTCCTCTCTTCTCCGCCACTACTATCCGCTATCTTCGTACTGCTCGAGATCCTAACATCAGGTAACTTCTCCTCCTTGCCTACCTTCCACACTCCTATTTCTTTTCTTTTCTTTTCTTTTCTTTTCCCTGCAAGTAATTCCTTGTTTACTTGGTCAATTTCTAACCCATGTTTTGTTAGCTACGAGATTACGCCTCCTATCAATTGGGGTATTCGAATTGTCCCGGAGAAGAAGGCTTATGTGATCGAACGATTTGGAAAGTATGTGAAGACTCTTCCCTCGGGAATTCATTTTTTGATTCCATTTGTCGATCGGATAGCCTATGTGCATTCCTTGAAGGAGGAAGCTATTCCTATTCCGGACCAGTCTGCTATCACAAAGGACAACGTCAGCATCTTGATAGATGGGGTGCTTTATGTTAAGGTATGACGTGTTCGTAGACTCCTCTTTTCTGGATTGCTTGATTTCAAGTCAACTGTCCAAAGTCACTCTACTTTTGTTTCTTTTACAAATGAAAAGAAAAAGACTCTGTTTCCGTGCAGATCGTGGACCCCAAGCTGGCATCTTATGGAGTTGAGAATCCCATATATGCTGTTATTCAGCTCGCTCAGACTACAATGCGTAGCGAGCTTGGGAAGATTACTCTTGACAAAACATTTGAGGAGAGAGACACGCTGAATGAGAAGATAGTGGTAATTGTTTTACGTTCCTCTCTTTCGATGCTATATATCGGTTTTCCTTGTTCTTTTCATCCTGTTCACCAATTATGTCTTCTTTCGACTTTCACAATTCTGGCTGGTTTTGTTAGTCTTCTGTGGAATAAAATTTGCATGTAGAATCACTTTTTTTTTCTTTTTTAATATTCCTTTTCTTCTTATAGTTTTGAACTGCATTTGTCTTCGATTTCCTGAATGAAGATAAATGAATGAATTAACCGTTCAGTAATCTTTTAAATGGACCATTCTGTAGGAATCTATCAATGTAGCTGCAAGGGACTGGGGACTGCAATGCCTTCGATACGAAATAAGTAAGTTATATATTACCCTTATCTATTGTTCTATCATATCTCAAGTAAAATTTTGAAAGTGGCTTCATCATTTTTCTTCTTGTAGGGGATATTTCTCCCCCCCGTGGGGTGAGGGCTGCTATGGAGATGCAAGCTGAAGCAGAACGCAAGAAGAGAGCTCAAGTCCTTGAGTCTGAAGGTAATGAAGGATTGAAATCGTCTTGACTAATATGAATAATTTGAATTTGATTAAATATTGTAATTTGCATAGGTTAAATAGATTCAGTAGATTAGAATCTCATCAATAGATTCAGTAGTTGAAGGGGCAAGGTAATCTGAATGTTTTTTGAGGCCTAGGTTTAGTTTATGATGGCTACCAACCTAAGGAGTTAAATCTCCTATGGTTTCTGTGGGAATGGATGTCCACAGTTACAAAATAAGAAAAAGAAAAAGAAAAATGATTTAGCATTGCATTTCTGAGTTGTAGTATAGCTGTAGGAAAGTTAAGGTGGTAAGGTGCAGTTCAAGTTAAGAACTGTAGAACTTTTTCTTGTGGTGTGCATATGTTGGGTGGGAGTTTGGGGGTGGGATTGAAACTTGAATTCTTGAGGAACTGAAATTAGTCTCTGTCTTTTTTCACTCACTTAGGTTCTGATATTCATTCATGGAGATTGATGCCCTTCAATTTTTAACAGGAGAAAGGCAGGCCAATATCAATATTGCTGATGGTAAGAAAAATTCAGTTATATTAGAATCTGAAGCTGCAAAAATGGACCAAGTTAACAGAGCGCAAGGTCAGTTGCCATTGCCATTACTATTTCAATTAGTTCTGAGAATATGTACTTCTGCTTTCTTCTAGTGATTTAATGTGATAGAACTAATTTTTTGAGTGCTTACTTAGTTAAATATATATACTGTACAGTTTTCTAGCTAACATAGGTTTAAAGAAGGGGAAGATGGACTTTTGACCTGCCCCTCACCGTCCTAGAATTTTAAGATTTTTTAATTCGAAATTACACATGTACTCCTATTCTTTCACTTTCCTCTTCTTCACCTATCTCTTCTAAGTACTTTGCAAGCTTTCTTTCTGATCAAAAAACTTTGCAAGCTTTCTTGGTTTAGAGACTCTCATAGCTGATTTTTTTCTCAAGTTTCGTCTATGATGTTGAAGTAAATTTCCAATTCCATTGTTGAATATGTATCATTTTCTCATGAATCAATTGAATATATTAGTGGAAGCTGAAAATTTTCTTAGATAACTAGATTTTGTTGACTGCAATGAAGGGAGGGAGATGGGGACTGAGAAGGTGAGGACCTGAGAAAAAGAGTAATGAGACACACGGGGTTGTGAGAAAGGAGGGTTTGAAGAACGAGAAATG